TTTGATAAATGAAAGTGTACAGCCACCTGTAAGTAGCTTACTACAATATTGCTCTTTTTTTGTGTGACTTTTGTTAGTGAGTATTTTATTATTTTTGTCTTACTTTTTCTATATAACTATTCTAGAATGTAAAATACATATTTAAATCAATATTATACGTGAAATTAGATATTAAATATTCCTAATTAGTCAAACAAGAAACTTAGCCTTAGGTCAGGATATATTTTCAATAATTTTAATACAGTGTTTAGAAAATAAATTTATACCAAACTCAATTTGTGTAAAATGAAATTTTTATCTTATTATAATTTGATACTAGTGGATCTGTATGCGACGAGTCACACTTGTGATATGAAAATACAGCGAAGGTTACTGCAATTATTGTTCCTTTTTTTGTCTGACTTTTGTTTGTGAGTATTTTTGTCTAACTGTTTTCTGAAAATGATTGGAATGATTAAATTTGCATGGCATTGAGAAATGCAATTGGGTAGATGGTGATGGTCTTTCAAGATGGTCCTATAAGATGAAAACCATGGAGTGGTGTGCAACTGCAAGAAGCAGAGAAAAAGGAAAAAGAAAAAATGACAAGCAGGACGCTCTTATCAGTTGGCAGCCTCATAAAGCTTCTCCCAACAGGCACATTCTTCGTCTTCCAATTCCTCAACCCTGCTTTGACCAACAATGGTAAATGCAACGGCAACAACAAGTCCCTCTGCGCCATTCTCCTTGGCCTCTGTGGCATCAGCTGCTTCTTTTCTTCCTTCACAGACAGTTACACAGGCAATGACGGGAATAGGCACTATGGCTTGGTAACCCCATATGGAATCTTTCCTTCACCGGCTTCCGACAACATTGACCTGTCAAGGTACAAACTCAAGTTCGGAGACGTGGTGCATGCTTTCTTCTCAGTTATAGTGTTCGCAGTGTTGGGGTTGTTGGACACCAATACTGTGAATTGCTTCTACCCTGGTTTTCATTCATCTCATCGTATGCTTCAACTGCTTCCCATAGCTATTGGGTTAGTGGCCGGTGGGTTGTTCACGATCTTTCCCAATGATCGCCATGGATATGGATACCCTTTGACCCCGGATTTCAACGACAACGCTCCTCCCAATAATCCGGTGGCAATGCCTAATCCCTAAAACTTGTTGCTGTGAAAATGTATGCAAACTCTGCATGTACTTGCATGAAATGTTCTTGCACTATATTTTGTGTGTATCAAATAAAAGATTTGTGTGTCAAATATAATTTACTTTTCTATCTCCTGTGACTGTAAAGTGAAGACTTTAATCTTTAATGTATTATTGAATTTTGTGTGTCATATTTTGGCTCTTTTAATTGCTTTTTTACATATACATAATATTATTAATGTTAATTTAAAATATACTAGTTTATTCGCCGTGCAATGCTTATGTATAGAAATGATAGAAATGCTTTTTAAATTTAAAATGGATTTTTATAGGTAGAACGTAACCTTAAAAAAACATCGCATAACATTACGGCAATAACAAATAGCTCTTATTCTTTATAA